GTATGCACAAAGCGGCTGACAAATGCGTAAGCAGCCATTCCTTTATCTGCTATAAACAAAAAAATTGTGTTTCTTGAGGGCTGCGTGTGATGAGCGATAGGAATCTTTATCTCTTGCATGTGTTTAGGCGATGGGGATCGACAGTTTGACAATGTTTCGTGTTTTATTAAAACAGTTGGAAGTTGACGCTTGCCCGCGTCGTACGTGGTTCTTTTTTTGTCCTGTTCTGTTCGCGCCTTTTATAATTTTATTCGACATGAAGTGAATTATGGGCTGGGACAGATGATTTTACCATTAGGGGTTTACTATTCGCATATCGTTTAGTGGGCCAAAATAAAGAGGGTAGAAAGTCAAAAGCCAGCTTTTCGGTTACGAACATTTGGAGATATAGGAGACTAGTTTGTACCTCATTTCCCTTGAAAGTTCTCCGCCTTTTCACTGTGATAGATCGGCTGTACTCAGAGCATCTCAGTGTTACCCAAACCATGTTAACGGTACCCACAGCACGTCAGCCGACCTGAACTCACGCGTTGCACACGAGAACTGCTTCACACGGGTGTAAGCGCTCGTCAACAAATATTTGGATTCGCGTTCGTGGTCAATGAGTGCCCCGACAGAACTTATAATCACTTGCGAATGACAAGTTATATGTTGTGTTCAAAAAGCACGATGAAAGCTTCGAGTCATCGCACCGGTGCAAAAGCATGTCACGACCACGTGATTTCTCAATCCGCGTTTGAGTTGAGGATTAAAGCTAAGGAGGAATGAAAAATAATTTTATGACTCCTTTAAGCGTAATATAATATGAATATAAATGCAAGGGGGGGGGGGGTGTATTACGTGAGTGGGATGCTCTGCTAATCTATGAGGATGTCACTTTCAGCTGAGTCATTGGATGGTTAATTTTTGTCTCAGCGGCATGGTAGCGTGATAGTGCGCGGAGGGTGCTATCGCAGCACTACCCGAATTAGAGAACCACAAGCAACAGTTAAAGTACGTGAATAATAGGCAGTTTCATGATACTCCTAAAACATATGATTTCTGAATAATTCTTTTTAAAATAAATGCCATTGAAACTGCGGTCGTCGCACGGAGCTTCGCATCGGAGCGCTGCTGGAGGGGCCGGAGAACTCCGGAACAACGCGGCGGTGGCGCCCTCTAGTTGCATCCACAGAAAGAGTAACATCTTTGGCGGGCATCGAGACTCTGGTTACCATGAACTTTAAGAAAACTAGTTCTTTGCATGAAAACAAACGGAAATAAACTTGTTTTGTAGGAACGTTTATTGGAGATTGGTACAAAATAGCAGACACGGGATGGTTCTTGAAAAAATAGTTTACAAGGGTTCGCGGCATAATTACTATTGTTTTTATACAACTACGACTCACCGTAAATTTGAGGTAGCGCGTCCGAAGCTGAGGACGTGCTGACTTCTGTGTGTATTCACGGTACCTGTGCATGGGAGACGGGGGTGGCTACCCTGACGCCCTTTTGGCTGGTATGTTTCGGCTACGATATAGCCGATGAAAGCCAAAATAGAAGAGTAATAGTTGACGCTAATGAATGCGACACTCTGAGCCAGTTCAAAAGCTGTGCAGTTTCCTCAGTGGCCGCGGCGGGAGAAATGGCGGCGTTGCGATCGCCGATAGTTGGGTTCCATCCCTTAGCGAAAACTAATACGTTTGAAATATACCACATTCTAATTTGAGTGTATTTGAAATACAATTCATAATTGTAAGTACACGAAAAATATACGGAAAATATAAACTTCTTTTTTTGTTACTTCGTACTAAAATATACTTCTAAAATCATTTTAAAATACCTTTACTTAAACTACATTTGAAGTTCCCTTCATGCGTTTTGAAATATGTAAATACAAAATTAATAGGCACAAAATACCTTTCACATATATTTCTTGAAATATTTATTTAATTCATGCAAAATATACTCCAACCCTAAAAAAATGGAGCAATCAAGAATACGTGCAGAATACTCTTAAAATACCTGAAAATCGTAAATACTGTTGTGTTATACTCTAAGTACCTTTTGACTGCAATACTTTGGTAGTTTGACTTAAACTACCAAGATATTTAAAAGCTCCCCTTCTGAAGTTCACTTCAAGCAGATATGGAGTACACTGAAGCGCCTAAATACATTTGATTAGTTTGGCAATTGAACTGCGCAGCATCGCACTGATAAATCAGCCCAGTTTATGTTATTGTTTCCTTTTTTCTATCAAGAACACACCTGATCAGTTCCTTGCACACCAATCACAAACGGGGTTCGGTAACTACAACCACAACATTTGCTGATGCTGGAAAGCTTCAGCAGGTGCTGTGAACAGAGACGTTTGGCGTGGTTTTGTTAGCACAATGTTAGTTCACTGAACGTGTATACTCACCATTGTACGTGATGTGAATAGTGACTTTAATACAGTGACATGCATTGACTACCATATTAAATAGTCAACTACTAAAAAGGAATGGCAAAACAACTACTGTAAAATATTTATTTTTCGCGGGCTCAATATTTCGCGATTTAGGTCAAAGTTGGAGTTTGGGAATAATTCGCAAATTCTAATTTTCGCGACGCGCTGGGATCGCAATATAGATTTTAATGTTTTTACATTTTGCCGGAATTGTTCACGGGACCTACTTTCGGAATTGTAGGCGATTCGCCAACTTTGCGAGAATTAGGTCCTCACGAAAATAAAGTCGTTTACAGTATTTTAAAGTGAAGAAACTGCCTTGATTCGCTTCGCCCTGAGTGGTGCTACGCAGAGAAGCAATAACATGTATTTTATGAGCCGTTTGTGTGGATATTGTTTTAGGGACTGTGCCGAATTGTTATTAGTTGTACCAACGCCTTTTAGTAAGAGATATCGTCCACGAACTTCAAAACACTGTTTCCCCCTTGACAGACTCCCGAGGAGAAGATCGAATAGTTGTAACCTTAATAAGCGCAGAGGTGGTCACCGAAAAAATTATTACCTTCAATATGTAGGCTATATAAGGCTCTAGAGCAGTCAACGGGACTGTGAATGAGCTCTTCAGTGCGTCATGGTGTTTGTGTTTGTGTTCGTTTCTAATGTGGCTTTGTGAGATGTATTTAGTAGTGCCTTCAAATACCACAGGGACACCATTTGCTGACAAAATCGAAAATAAAAAAAAAATTGTGTAACCGGTTTGTATCCACAAATGGCATCTTGAGTGTGAAGGAATGAACTTTTTGGTATACCTAAAATATTTTTTGATTCATATTTATAATGTATTTTGAATACATTACGCGCGTATTTCGAATGCGGCCAAAATAATACAGAATAAATACAAAATGAATATTCGTACTAAATATATTTCAACTTCGTTTGAAGTACGGCCTCTTTTTGCTAAGGGATTGTACGGATCGGTGCAACTTCTTTCGGGAATGTTCCATGCAGTATACTGAGCTTTAGTAACGTTGGCTGTACTACTGTTCCGCTATAAGGTGCCCGCAATAGTTGCCAAAAGGCTGTCCAACTGTTTTCGAATTGTTGCGAGATAAGTGAGGAACACCCGCAAAACTATGCCACGCAGCTGTGGCGTGACAGACTCTAGCAACAAAATCAAGACATTGTTGCCCCGATCATGGGGAAGCACTGTCGCGAGGAGCGCTGCGTGGTCATGCAGTGCAAATGTTGAGAAGATGCATGCGGCAGCAGTTGGCAAAAACTGATGTACAGCTGCAGTCCCGTTGTGGCACGCAATGTCTGCCGAATAGGCTTGAGCAACAGTCAACCAACAATGGTGTCCAGTGTTTCATCTATCCCAACCTAGCGCGAAACTGTTGTGTCGTACAGTTGGAACACTTTTGAAAAGCAATGTTTGGGGACTGCAATCTGGCAGTGTAAACGCAAACTGTTTTTGAACCTGCCACGGGAACAGTTTAGCAACATCAGGACAGCACACATTTTACTGGGTAAAAGCAATGCTTCGGTAACTGTTGCGAGCATGAAACAATCAACGGTTGACCGACACAGTTGCCGCAGTGCTTTAGCAGCGGACACTTCTGCAGTGGTATGACTGTTGCTACAACATTGTTGCGCGATTGCAGTAAAACTGTTTTCTGTTGCGAAACTTTGTTGCGCCGACTCTCTCCACAACATAAATTGTTACCTGGGCAGAAGGACGTAATAGGATAAATATTAAAATAGAAGAGTTCGCTGTCTCACAAATATGTTAGCTTCTAATTGCCTATACGAAACCGGATGCATTATTATCAAGCTCCGCAGCCTTTTCTTTTCTCATTCCAATGGAAGCAAGCTTCAAGAGCTCGCGCGTTCTAGGAACCTGTTATGAAATGAGCACACAGCAGCATTTAGGATTTACGAGATTGTAAAAAAATGAAATCCCGTGACGCGATTTTTTTTTTTTTTTTTTTTTTTTTGCACAGCTTTTCAATTCTTTTTTTTTTCCGTGCAAGCCGCGACCAGCGCAATACTGGTTCCTATGTCAAGATTCACGGATGCAGCGTTTGTCAAGATTCGTGGATGCAGCGTTTGTCAAGATTCATGGATACAGCGTTTATATTCCTAAGACTGAGTGGAGAAGAAAAATATGTAAGCGAGGTGTGTGTCAGTTGACGGCACTTAAGAAACAAATGGCATTGATAGCACATTCATTGTCAACAGCGAGTGGACGAACCATTTTGACATGAGCCGGTAACCGTTATTTTTTTTCCGGTTCAGTTCCGGTTCGGGTTCATCGCGATAACAATATAACGGTTCGGGTTCGGGTTCAGTTACGGAAAAAATACCGGTTCGGTTCCGGTTTTCGGTTCGCTTCGGTTCCGGTTCACACCCTGATATATATACATAAATATATATATATATATATATATATATATATATATATATATAGTGTATACACGCAATCGTCTCCAAGACCACTCAAAAGTTTTGTGCTCACACTTTGGGAGCTGACATAACCCTGCAAATAAAAAATGATTTCTTGCAATTTATAGTCCTACTCAACGGCAGTAACTAACGGTACAACTGAAAAGCAGTGGTTTTGTTTCATCATCGCTGTACTTACAACTTGACCCCATTATTCGACATGGAAACGTGGCCCAGTCAGGACAAGGCTGCTCACAGTCCTTGATGGCCTTTGTCCTTTGTTTACCTCTGTAGGGTGGCCATGCACAACGGTCATTCCGCACCCAACAGGCAGGAACTGCCGAAATATCATTCTTCCCAAGAAAATTTATGATGTAGTACATTTCCTGAAACACACAAATGAAGGCTTTATTATTTTAAAAGCTCCTTATTAATATGTGAAAATGTTATTTTCAAAGCAATCAAGACCAGCTTAGATTATGCAAATATGAATCATCACACTTGCAGGTGAACTTGTGGAAAAACCGCATAGCACTGTTGATGCTGCAAACAGACGCACTTGCACTTGATGTCCTTCACACTACACAATGAGTACTGCCTGGAAAGACTGGTGGCCTTAAAAATTCCTAGTTCTGATGAAGGCACATTAGTGGTATACAGGTCGTTCAGACACTGGAAGAACTGCCCGCAGATGCTTTGCTCTCCACCCGATTCGATGAAGTTCCTAACAAGAATGATGTTACCATCTTTCAGCTGCACACAGTTCTCTGAAGGCTTGAAAGAAAGATATGTGCCATCTAGGAGTAGCTCACTGTACTGAGTTCCCTCGAAGTTTGGCGGCTCAGGCCCATCTCGGTGTGGCCCTTGCCTGCCACACTTCTGTTGTTCACGGGTTATTTTGGTTGCAGCCTTGAGTTCCGAGTATCTTCTAATGACTTGCTGCAAAGCCAATGCACGACCTCTGACCATCTTCTTTAGTTTCCCAAGAAAGTTCTCGAAAGGGAAGGCAGAGAACAAGTCCACAGGGCCGAACCTCCGAACATCCTGTGTCAGGTGGATCGGGGAGTGCACATTGTAAACATACACCCCATCCCCATAAAGGGAACCGGCATCGCGAACAAACTCTCTCAAGAGGGACTCTGCCACATCGCAGTGCGTCAAAAAAAAAAAAACTTGGGGCTGGCTAGAATCGTCATAGCACAGCTCAGCTGTAGAAGCGTTTGTCCAAACCACTTCGAAGAAGAACTGGCCCAAAGTACAGCAAAAAGCACCGGAACTCTACTGCCTTCCTGTGGTCTCGTTCTTTGAGAGAACGTGGCTTGCGATTAAACTCGCAAGGTGTGCTTGACTGAAAGCTTATCAACTTGTCGGATATTTCAAGTTGGGACCTTTTGGGCAACTTCGATGCTGAAGGTGTGGGTGAGGTCCAGTATTGCACAATTAATCTTTTCATGACGCCCAAGCACACCAAGTGCATGTAGTCCAGAGGAAAGCAACTCACAAGGCCTACACCTAGTGCTGAAAGTGGTGAAACAGCATGATGATGGTCTGCATTCACTTGGTTGGTGAAGTCTTCATCTGTGCATAATGGAGCATCAATATCCGGAAGTGTAACTTTCTTTCCATCATGTTTTCCCTTCTGACTGCACTTTTCAGAACCATAGTATGCAGTCTGCCCCTTGATGCACTTGAGGTAGGCCCTGGCTGGAGCATCACAGATAAATGAATGTAGTTGTACTGTATACAATTTGCTATTGAGATGAATGCCCTGGGTCAACAATACGGACAGTTCCTCAACAAAATCCTTCATGAAGAGTTCCACGTTTTCAGGTTTCCCATCACCTTCATGCAATGCCGCCACGAAAGGGTTCTTACCGCGGCTTTCTTTCACCGGAACAAGCACTGGCCAGAACTGCTTACGAGAACTTTGTGAGATTGGAAGTCCATCTACGTTTATGGAGAGCGACAGCGTGGAACACCCGCTGGGAAGCAATCCGCCTGTGGCCTCTGCCATAAGCCCTGCAGCTACTCCAAAGTAGTGGTATAAACCACTTCCCATTTGTGCAACCTCAGTGATGCGCAATGTCTTTAGCAATGTCCTTGCATGCTCCGTCAGTTTAGCCGGTCGCCATCGGTCGCCCACCCGGAGTGAGAGTTCGCGGTGCTCCACATAGATGGCGCCACAGAAAAAGAGAAAACCGAGGAGGACACAATACGGTCGCTCATTTGGCTTTCGTTTCCCCACCTGTCTATCTTACACCCTGGCTTCGACCTTGTTTGGCTTGAGCTACTTCCATATCTTGGCGTCGTGGCTTGTCAACACTGTGCGTAAACGAGTAAACAACTATGAAGTTCAAGTATGAATAAACTCTAAAAATTTATTTGACAGTAGTAAAATACGTTTTTTTTAAGAGTTACAGAACATGGGTTCGATGGGAGAAATTGGAGATTGGTATAAGCCGTACAGCCATAACCGTGATGCCGTACTCGTATGCAATCATGGCGGACGGTGGTGAGCTTGCAATGATCGGTGCGTGATCTCGAACATAATATCGGCAATGATAGTGAACTATTAATGTCGAAACGGTAGTTCCGTAGCTATGCGACTGTGCTGTGCCATTGTGAATTGTCCACAAATGTAGGCAAAAAGTGGTCCACGCAGAGCGAGCTTGGTTTTGTTCTGACCACTTCTGTCGACTGCTCTTTGGCGAGAAGTGAACAAGGACTAAGTACTCGTATGTGTAAGATTATACTCGTTTAATTTTTATTGCGAGCGAAGCAGAAGCACACGGGTGACGCAGCGATTTTACTCGTTTCATTTTAATTCCGAGCGAAGCAGAAGCACACGAGTGACGGACCCGTGCACTGGAAATCTCGTTCAGAAACAGTAGTATGCGCTATCATCACTCACTCACTCGTCCACGCGCCTCACTTCTTTTCGTCTTTTACGGCAGTAACCGTTCATGGCCCTTCCGGCCCTTCATTTTGAGTGGGATGCGGAGTGCGTCCGTGTATCCGTGGCCCTTGACGCTGGATCTCCTTCCTACCTGGCCCTATCCTCACTCCACTTTTCTTTCATCTCGTACCCCATTCTCGTACCATCTCTCCTATGTTGCCTTTCCTTTTCTTTCCCCCCTCACTTTCTCGCTTGATTTTATGTTTGTGGCCCCTCGCTCCCCCTTTCCTACCTCCATAGAATTATATGTTCGTAGCTTCTGACATATGATTTCAACTTTGGACCCTTGGATGCTGCTCCTCGCCATCTCCCCTTCTATCTATCTCCTCGGTCTCCTCTTTCCTCCCTCCCCTCTTCCTCCACCCTCCCGTCTATCTTCCTCTTTTTTCCCGCTATCCATCCACCTCCCCTTTCCTCCCCTCTTCCCCCTTCTCTCTCGCTTGAGTGATTCTGTGTTCTTGGCCTATGATCTTTGCTTTCATGGTGGTCTCTGGATATGGCTCTTCATTTTGAGTGGTCGGGGAAGTATGATCTTCTGTCCGTGCAACCGTGGCCTATGACCTCCGACTTTGTACCACTTCCTACTGGACCACCCCTTCTTGCTCGCTCTTTTATCTGGCCCCACCCCTTCCCCATCTCCTTATTCCCCTCCACTCCTTCCTCTCCCCTATTGAGACTTGGTGTCATCTTCCCTCTGTGTGCTCTTCCTCCCCTCTTGCCTCTCTCCTCCGTCCGATCTCGCTCCTCCCTGCCCAACTTTTCTTCATCTTTCTCTCCCTTCATGCTCCCTCAGCCATTTCATCCTCAGTCCCCTCTCGCTTCCGCCTCTTCTCTTCCTTGTGTGAGCATGTGCTTTTGGCCTTCGACCTTCATACTTGACGTCTTTCTTCCCATCTCCTCGTTCACCTTCCCTCTAGACCGTCTCCCTTTTCCCCTCCTCTGTCTATGAGACAATGGCTCCCACCGGTCATCTCACTTGCAGTATGTTGCAATGAGCCGCCACTTTTTGAGTTTTCTGAAGAAACAGAGTGGTGGGCTATAAATTGGACTGAAAAATGAGCTTCCGCATGTAACTATTTCAAATTTTCAACCAGGGTGTATTTTATACTGCATGTTCCAAGATTTCTCTAAATCTCTAGGCAAGCACTGACGCAGACAACCAAGGCGGCGAGAGTAAAAACCACACAATCGCTCGATTAGAGTCGAGTCTATTGGGAAATTAGTCCTTGCTTCTATTTTAAATAATAGAAATTATATCGCAGGAAGCTCGGGTCGGATAGAGCATTCAGTCGACCTCAAGAACTCTCTGCGACTTGGTAGTAGGGTAATCATGTTAATATTTTTCACAGAAACAGAGCTACGCTACAAAAGTTAACGTAATAGAGCACACCACTAAAATACACCTTTGGTGATAATTTCAGCTAGCTCAGGTTCCAGTTTAATTTACAGGCTATCACTCGCGTGCCATCCTATACATGTTTGGGAGGTCTTTGGGCCGTCACGTCACTAGCATGAGTTTTCCGCGTTCGATGACACAATAACGCCCCATGACTTCACCAGGGGCAGATGCAGGAATTTGCTTGGGGGGGGGGGGGGGGGTGGAGGGTCAGGTGTTGGTCAGCGTACCATATGTTTAGGAACCCCCTTCCTCTCTCCCTCGTTTTACGCCCTAAATTTTACACATGCAAAAATCAAGAGGGGGGTCAGGACATCCGGACCCCCCTCCAAATCCGCCCTTGGACTTCACCCTCTTGTTATCTTTAGCATGCGTTCCAGACGCTGGGCATCCGAATGATCCTAACCTAAGAAGCAATGATAAGGGTGCATGTTAGCTTGTGAATATTGAGCAGACTCACCAACTCGCCCTTACAAAAATGATAAATGAGTTTCAATTGAATTCCTAACTCGCCAACTCGCCCTTACAAAAATGATAAATGAGTTTCAATTGAATTCCTAATGTGTTCTTATAAAATGCACAAACTCATTAGAAACTCATTGGTAATTTTTGTAAGGGCGAGACAGGTTAAGGGGCAGGAAGGAAACCAGCTCGAACAGGCAAGTCTCAACAGACTTCTCGACAAGGTTTCTGTTGGTTTGTGTTTCGTTTATAGTATGACAAAAACCACAGTAGGGTGCCTTAGTGTGTTTGCATGTGCTTTAGTGTGGCGACAACAAACCATTTTGTTCACATTCATCCTCGAGTTGAAGCTCACTGAACAATCCTATGGCAACGAAATGTAAGCCATGTTCATTATAAGTTTGCCAGCCTTGCATTACCACTTAGCCCATTATATTAAACTTGATTATAAAATTGTGCAAGCAAATGCCACACACACAAATGAATTCAATTTTATTATAAACCTTTTGGACAGATATTTTTTTTACTTTTCTGCAATTTGTTTAGAGTACATTTTGAACACTTGTTTCAAATGCGCCATTCACAAGCATTAGGGCGGTCTTTCTGTTTGTATAAAAATAAAAATGTTTGAACAAGAAAATTTATTGAACTATTCAAAGTTTAGTTCCTTTGTGTATCCTTCACCAGTCTCTGTGTGATGTGGTGATGTGTCACATTTCGTCACATTAGGCCAACGTCGCTGCAAAACATTGCCCTTATGTCCGGGTAGAAATGTTACGAAGAGGTTATTTCGAAACGTTGCTCTAATGTTGCTTCTCTAACATTCCTGGAACGTTTGCCTATGTGATGTAACGTTGCACGACGTTCAGTTACGGTGAAACAATGTTACAGGTGAACGTACCTGTTACGTTAGTTTTCTAACGTTGCTATAACATGCCCAAATGTGCCCCAACGTTACATTACATTTGTGACATTCCAGTAACGTTATGGCAACATATGGTTCTACTAGGGCCCCTGCGCAAGAAGCAGACGAACTTGCCCTCCGCATTGCTTTATTTAGAGCGCCCGTCACAGGACACCATTTCCAGGCGATCACATTCAGACAAGAAGGCATTTTTTCACGTAGGGGACTGTTTATTGGATCTATGCATGGTACAATTCAAACGAAAAGAGTCACAAACATAGCACATAATACAGCCATAGAACAAAGTTTGCAGGGATGCCGGTCAATTTACAAAGAAGCAGAGCCGACGACACTTTTTTTTTGCGGAGTGTTGACATGTTATGGACAGAAATATTGTGGATGGCAGATAGGGCAAGTGTGAAACGCGATGATCGAACACACAGCTTAGTGGAACACATTTTGACAGGTAACAAGGACATCAAGAGGCATGAAAAATAGAGCCCATCAAATCATATATGTACTGCACAAGTAAAAAATACAATAAAAACTCCAAACTGCATGCACACAACATTATCTACAGCAATTTAGAAATTCTACAGAATTTAAAGCATCTTACTGTTCTCAGTGTCATAAGTTCTGTTGCTTATATAAAGCACAGGCATTTTAGAGCGCTGGAGCTCTTTTACTGATCAAGGAAATGGCGCATATGAGAGAGAGAGAGAGAGTTACAAGCAGCATCCCCATGTGTATTTTTTTTTTTCTGATGCGAACACCGACTGACAAGGAGACGTAGTGCCGCTTCCAACGCAGTAATTCACCGAGGATTTTTTTTTTTTCTAACACGATTTGAATTAGGGTTTGTACCTACCAGAACGATCACATATGTTTGCACTGGTTGGGTGCCCTTATTTCAAGGGTACTACACTTGAGAACACATTAAAATGAATGCGATCAGTAAATTCTAAATCGAAACTTGCGACGCCGAAGTACGCTCAGCGATTTCTTCAGTTTCGTTTGGGCTGCATCAGTTTCGAGCCTCTCTCTACATGTGCAAAGCCGCGGTTACTTTGTTGTTCATGATTCCGAATAGAAGGACAATTCGGCACCAGCTTCATTCATGCAAGAAGGAAAAGCAGCACCTCACAAAACTTAATATACACACATTTATAATTCACCAGTCTGCGTAACGGCGAGTTCCTCAGCGATAGTTACCACGGAATCGACGACTTTGCCATTTGCCACGGAAACGACTTTTGTTATTTGCAATAACAAAAATTAGAATAGACAACTTAGCAGCTTCTCAGCGGGTCCGTTATTATCAGCTTTAATGCTCCAAATTTAAACGCCAAAAACGCAAAGCTT